CTTGGCTGTTCAACCTATTCATGGACAGGTGTTTGCAAACTTTGAAAGATGAAGAATGTGGTTTAAGAATGGGCGAGTTAACCGTCAAATGCCTTTTGTATGCCGATGATCAAGTCATATTTGCGTCATCAGCGGCTGAGTTGCAAATGATGGTTACATTAATGAACTGGGAATTAAAAGAAAGGGGAATGAAAGTGAACGCAAGTAAGACGAAAGTGATGGTTTTTGAAAGAGAAGAAAGCAAAACGGTATGTGAAATAAGAATAGAAGGAGAGTTAATTGAGCAAGTGGATGAGTTTGTGTATTTGGGATGTGTATTTAGCAGGGATGGTAGATATGATAGGGATATAGAACGACGAGTAAATGCAGGGAATAGAGTGAATGGGGCACTACACTCTATTATGAAGAACCAGAATGTGTCAAAACAGGCACGTATGGTAATTCATAATGCTGTGTTAGTCCCTACGTTAATGTATGGTAGTGAAAGCTGGGTGTGGCAGAAGAAGCACGAAAGTAGAATAAATGCTGTAGAAATGCGTTCTTTAAGAAATATGCTAGGGTTTAATCTGAATGACAGGGTGAGAAATTGCGTGATAAGAGATAAATGTGGTATGCAAGCTGATGTTGTGACCAGGATTAAGAAAGGAATGCTTCGGTGGTTTGGTCACGTAGAAAGAATGAATGATGAAAGAGTGACAAAGCAAATTTATATGGCAGATGTGAACGGCCGAGTCGGGAAGGGACGCCCTAGAAAAAAGTTTGTCGACCAAATTGGCGATATTTTGAAAATGGGCCACGTTAGAAGTACCCTTAACCGACGAGCATGTATGCGTAGATATATGGATGTAAAGGAGGCGAAAGAGGTATGTCAGGATCGTGCCAAATGGAAGTCCGTAATCTCTGCCTACCCCTCTGGGTGACAGGCGTGAGTGTTTATATTATTATATATATTTTTCTTTTTTTATATTATTGTTTGCTTTTTTTTTCTCTTTTTTTTTTTGTTTTATCATATCTATAAACAAGGAGTGAATGTCCTGTTTCATGATTTCTATGTAAAAATTTTTTTTTGTTGTTTTTTGTTGCATGACTACTTAAATGTTATTTGTTTTATGTAATCCACTTGAGTGTGTTGCATGTGCCAAATAAAATCTGTTTCTTTCTTTCTTTCTTTCTTTCTTTCTAGCCAGAATGAATTATATCCACGCCTAATTTTATATCGAATTAAATTGAAAAAAAATAATTGAATTAAAAATATAAAAACATAGAATAATTCGTAACAGCTGCTGAAACGGAAAACTTTTGCCGTTTCAGACAAAAATATAACATCAAATTATTACACCCAGTGGAGTCACTTCTTATAATCTGTTAAGTAGTTTTATTTTGTACACTACGGATACAAGTATTTATTAGCGAAATAATTTTCTAACTGTAAGTTGCTTTCTCTGTTTGCATTATGTTTTTTTTTTTAATTTAAATATTGCAGTGAGAAACGAGTTCACAGTCTAATTGATAACAAATACCTACCTCTGAGCATGTTCACCTGATACGAACTTTTCTAGGTGGTTTTTTAAACGCTTATTCTGCCTAGCACTCCGTCTCTGCAACACCACCTACTTCAGCCGGTTCCAGCCTGAAGAGCATAGAGAGCCTGATAATTTTAGACTGTGAAGCATTCCGTCTTAGTCAAAGACTATAAATCTTAGTTCTCAGTAGTAACAACGGGACTATATCCTTTTTTGTTCGAAATTGGTTCAAAGTATCCATGGGCTGCAGAGCCATTTTATCAGGTGTATTGTAATATCGTATAATATTTCAATTAAAAAACTTAAAAAACAACAGGACATAGGTATTGTCATCTCTGAGGACTGAGATAAAATGCTTAACAGATTGGACCTGGACTTAAATTTCTTATCGTTGAAACCTGAACCCGGCAATCGGCGCTCTGCTACTTTGTGGAAGTTATGGGTAATAATTTACATTTATAGGCGAAGTGTAGGGCGACCCCCCTCTAGATAGAGTGACGACCTGGTAAGACATGCAGGAAGTCGATGGATGCAGGTGGCTCAGGACCGTGCTTTGTGGTTTTTTTTGGGGGGGGCATATGTTCAGCAGTGGACTTGTGAAGGGCTGTAATGATGATGATGATGATAATAAGGTTCCTAACATAATAATTTCAAAGTGACTTTATACGCAAATTTTGAAGCAATTAATATTATAGTAAAAATATAACCATGGAACTCCATACTAAAAACAGTCCAATAATGAATAATGAATTAAAATGAATTCCATTGTAATTCATTATTATCCCCGTCAAAATCCATTAATGAACATAGGGCTCACCCATAGAATACCTATAATAACTGCGTTTGCTAATCCACCTACCAAGCGAGGGAACTATGACAAATATGGGTAAATAACTTTCGAGTGTTCAATAAAATGATAAATAAGTTACAGCATATATTTTTAACTTCTCCGACATGCACGTTTCTCCGATGTTTCTTTCATCGTAGATCTCGTGGTTGATGAGCACTTAAAATTGAAATTGTCAATGTCATCGGTGTCAACAAGGATCAACTCAGAGTTGTTCGTGAACTGAAATACAGCGAGTGTTTAGCAACTGACTTTCACGGCTCGGCTGAAAAATAGGAATAGGAAAATAGAAAAATGAAATAGAAAAATAGGAATACGTTTAATTTTTTACATATTCTGCAGCACTGGGTCAACTCGACCGGGGTAGAACCGCGCTCATACAGAATACCAGCTTACTGCTGCTGCGTCACGTGTGGTGACTGTAAAGAACAGGAGACCCCTGCCTGACAACAAATCTGCATTTTGATACTTAATCGAAGGATAAATGGAGATATTAACGAGCCATAGCATCCACTTATCCACCATTATGTGGCCTTATTATTCTATAAATTTCCTGACAATATTCATTATTATTAATTTTTCTACTCCGTTAGCTTCCTATTTGAAATAAATAAAGAAAGGAAAAAGTTTATTTGGTACATGCACTAGCAAAGAGAATAAATGAATTAAAACAGTTGTTCTTTTTTTATATCTTAACAAAACTATTTTAAAAAAGGAATAACGTAATATGCACCAAAATGGTCTCTACTTAGCTTCAAGTCATGGATTGAAGATATACATACATCAATTCGTAACGCTGATTTTCAGTGTAGCCAGGAGTGTGAGGCAGATGACTAAACTGAAAAATAAACAAAAAATATAAAATAAAATGAAAAAATACTATCAAAATTCCACGAATCAGGGCCACATTGATAGTGTAGAGATAAACAAACGGTGTTATGCCTACTGAAAAAAATAAAATAAATTGTGTATGACTATGTGTGTGGATGTGCGCATGCGTGTTTTTAGTGTGTGAGTGCGTGAGTGCGTATTTCTTCGGTAAATTTATCTATTACAAAACGGCTTGATCGATTTAAGTGGAAATTTATATAATTATAATATATAATTACGTAATTGTGCATCAAACGAAACCAGTGCGTTTTCATTAGAATGAGTTGTTCTTCAGATAGCAAAAAGTTTTATTAACTACACAGATATATATTCAACAACAATGCATTCGACTTTTGAAATCTTGAAACGATAACATACGTAAAAACTTGTAGTTTAGAAAGTCGATTAAAAATGTTAAAAATAAATTAGCCGAGATCCCCGTAATAGAATAAAACGATGTGTCTTACCTATTTTGAAGAGCACTTCCTGTCCGCTCTCAATTGCGTGCATTATCCACGTAACCACTAATCCCAACAGCACAAGACACACCATCGTCAATAATACGACACGTGTTGTGCCTCTAAACGGGGCACACTGAAATCAGATAGACTTCGCGGTGGCTGACCGCTTACTTAGCGGTATTGACCAGTGGTTTCCGCAAAGTAACGCCTGATTATATTAATAATTTTAGAAATTGGGACCCATTACAATTAAAACAGTTACAAGTTAAAACTGTTAAAGTAAATAGTTCAACATCTGCTCTGAGATGCATCTGGTTAGACATAATAGTCCTACATCTGCTCTGAGATGCATCTGGTGAGACAGAATAGTCCTACATCTGCTCTGAGATGCATCTGGTGAGACAGAATAGTCCTACATCTGCTCTGAGATGCATCTGGTGAGACAGAATAGTCCAACAGCTGCTCTGAGATGCATTTGGTGAGACAGAATAATCCAAGATCTACTCTGAGATGCATTTGGTGAGACAGAATAGTCCAACATATGCTCTGAGATGCATCTGGTGAGACAGAATAGTCCAACATCTGCTCTAAGATGCATTTGGTGGGACAGAATAGTCCAAGATCTACTCCGAGATGCATTTGGTGAGACAGAATAGTCCAACATATGCTCTGAGATGCATTTGGTGAGACAGAATAGTCCAACATCGGCTCTGAGTTGCATTTGGTGAGACAGAATAGTCCAACAGCTGCTCTGAGATGCATTTGGTGAGACAGAATAATCCAACATCTACTCTGAGATGCATTTGGTGAGACAGAATAGTCCAACATATGCTCTGAGATGCATCTGGTGAGACAGAATAGTCCAAAATCTGCTCTGAGATGCATTTGGTGAGACAGAATAGTCCAACATCTGCTCTGAGATGCATCTAGTAGGACAGAATAGTCCAACATATGCTCTAAGATGCATCTGGTGAGACAGAATAGTCCAACATCTGCTCTGAGATGCATTTGGTGAGACATAATAGTCCAACATCTGCTCTGAGATGCATCTAGTAGGACAGAATAGTCCAACATATGCTCTGAGATGCATCTGGTGAGACATAATAGTCCAACATCTGCTCTGAGTTGCATTTGGTGAGACAGAATAGTCCAACATCTGCTCTGAGATGCATCTAGTGAGACAGAATAGTCCAACATCTGCTCTGAGATGTATCTGGTGAGACAGAATAGTCCAACATCTGCTCTGAGTTGCATTTGGTGAGACAGAATAGTCCAACGTATGCTCTGAGATGCATCTTGTTACACAGAATAGTCCAACATCTGCTCTGAGATGCATTTGGTGAGACAGAATAGTCCAACATCTGCTCTGAGATGCATCTGGTGAGACAGAATAGTCCAACATATGCTCTGAGATGCATCTGGTGAGACAGAATAGTCCAACATCTGCTCTGAGATGCATCTGGTGAGACAGAATAGTCCAACATCTGCTCTGAGATGCATCTGGTAAGACAGAATAGTCCAACATATGCTCTGAGTTGCATTTGGTGAGACAGAATAGTCCAACATCTGCTCTGAGATGCATCTAGTGAGACAGAATAGTCCAACATCTGCTCTGAGTTGCATCTGGTGAGACAGAATAGTCCAACATCTGCTCTGAGATGCATCTAGTGAGACAGAATAGTCCAACATCTGCTCTGAGATGTATCTGGTGAGACAGAATAGTCCAACATCTGCTCTGAGTTGCATTTGGTGAGACAGAACAGTCCAACGTATGCTCTGAGATGCATCTAGTGAGACAGAATAGTCCAACATATGCTCTGAGATACATTTGGTGAGACAGAATAGTCCAACATCTGCTCTGAGATGCATCTAGTAGGACAGAATAGTCCAACATATGCTCTGAGATGCATCTGGTGAGACATAATAGTCCAACATCTGCTCTGAGTTGCATTTGGTGAGACAGAATAGTCCAACATCTGCTCTGAGATGCATCTAGTGAGACAGAATAGTCCAACATCTGCTCTGAGATGTATCTGGTGAGACAGAATAGTCCAACATCTGCTCTGAGTTGCATTTGGTGAGACAGAATAGTCCAACATCTGCTCTGAGATGCATCTAGTAGGACAGAATAGTCCAACATATGCTCTAAGATGCATCTGGTGAGACAGAATAGTCCAACATCTGCTCTGAGATGCATTTGGTGAGACAGAATAGTCCAACATCTGCTCTGAGATGCATCTAGTAGGACAGAATAGTCCAACATATGCTCTGAGTTGCATTTGGTGAGACAGAATAGTCCAACATCTGCTCTGAGATGCATCTAGTGAGACAGAATAGTCCAACATCTGCTCTGAGTTGCATTTGGTGAGACAGAATAGTCCAACATCTGCTCTGAGATGCATCTAGTGAGACAGAATAGTCCAACATCTGCTCTGAGATGTATCTGGTGAGACAGAATAGTCCAACATCTGCTCTGAGTTGCATTTGGTGAGACAGAATAGTCCAACGTATGCTCTGAGATGCATCTAGTGAGACAGAATAGTCCAACATATGCTCTGAGATACATTTGGTGAGACAGAATAGTCCAACATCTGCTCTGAGATGCATCTAGTAGGACAGAATAGTCCAACATATGCTCTGAGATGCATCTGGTGAGACATAATAGTCCAACATCTGCTCTGAGTTGCATTTGGTGAGACAGAATAGTCCAACATCTGCTCTGAGATGCATCTAGTGAGACAGAATAGTCCAACATCTGCTCTGAGATGTATCTGGTGAGACAGAATAGTCCAACATCTGCTCTGAGTTGCATTTGGTGAGACAGAATAGTCCAACATCTGCTCTGAGATGCATCTAGTAGGACAGAATAGTCCAACATATGCTCTAAGATGCATCTGGTGAGACAGAATAGTCCAACATCTGCTCTGATATGCATTTGGTGAGACAGAATAGTCCAACATCTGCTCTGAGATGCATCTAGTAGGACAGAATAGTCCAACATATGCTCTGAGATGCATCTGGTGAGACATAATAGTCCAACATCTGCTCTGAGTTGCATTTGGTGAGACAGAATAGTCCAACATCTGCTCTGAGATGCATCTAGTGAGACAGAATAGTCCAACATCTGCTCTGAGATGTATCTGGTGAGACAGAATAGTCCAACATCTGCTCTGAGTTGCATTTGGTGAGACAGAATAGTCCAACGTATGCTCTGAGATGCATCTAGTGAGAGAGAATAGTCCAACATCTGCTCTGAGATGCATTTGGTGAGACAGAATAGTCCAACATCTGCTCTGCGATGCATCTAGTAGGACAGAATAGTCCAACATATGCTCTGAGATACATCTGGTGAGACAGAATAGTCCAACATCTGCTCTGAGATGCATTTGGTAGGACAGAATAGTCCAACATCTGCTCTGAGATGCATTTGTTGAGACAGTAAAGACATTTTTCAGAAACGTTTACAAAGTGAGTTATCCTTTTCTTTACTTTTGAATCTGTCCTCCATACTGAGAAGCTGTTTTTGAAAATATATCGTTGCGTATGAGATTGCAGGCGCAGCAAGCAACACCTATACAGTGTAAACACATATGAGAAAATACACTGAATACACTACTACTAATATTGAAATACGCTTTTTACTATCTTTTTACTATCTCTTTATTATAGTAATTTTTTTTATAGAATAAGGATGAAATACAAACCTACACTTCACCTGATGGTAACTGAATGCTGAATCCCATAAACATCTACATCTATTATCAATTAAGAATCAAAATGTAAATGCGTTCTTATCCTGAGGACTAAGACGGGATGCCGTTACCAATAAAAAAGTTCCCGGTTATTAACACTCTGTCTATCTATCTATCTCTATTAACAAATAAAAATACAGACGCATTGTCACCTGTGAGGACTAAGATAGAATGTCTCGTTTTTAGTAAAAAGGGTCTCCGGTTCTGTATACTCACAATACGAAACAGAGAAGCATCAAGCTGCTATTTTACGCTAGTATTCTGTAAGACCGTGTTCCAACCCCCGTCGTGCTGAAACATACAAACTGTAGCGTAGCTCTACCACGAGAAACAGTAATAAAGTTAAAGTGAAAGACTATTATGTTACAAAATTTTGTTTAAAATGAAATTGATTATAAAAAACAAGTCTTAATTGTATTGCCAACACTATGAATGTACTCAAACGGTTTGTTTTTTTTTTTGTTTTTTTGAAGAATACTGGCAGGCAGGAATACTAACAGTGGTAGAGAAACGAGGAAGCTTTTGCTATCGCACGAGTAGGCCGGCTTGTACCGATGAAATAAAACGACATCACAGAATACCAGTGTAAAGTACGTGTACGTTTATACGAGTTAGAGCCATGTTACAGCTATATCACGATTAAGAAAAAGGCAACGCCTGTCACGCTGTTCATGAATTTCTGCAATATCAGGGGATTTCATTCGATCCTTAACGCCATCCACTACTATATTCCTCAATTTCAGATGTGTAGAATTATGCACCTTCTCTGTTGGACCTTCTGCTGACCTTTTATTCAGCTATGGATAATAGCGCTTTTTAAAAGAACTATAATTCCGCATCCAGTTCTGTCGAAAACGTTATTGCCAAGGTAAAGTCAGAGCACATTGAGAGAATTGACGAGAAACTATCTCGCCTTCCTTTGGTAGCCAGTGCATTCTAGTCTCTCATCAAGTATGTCCAAGGTACTGCTTTGTGGAGTAAGACTGTAGTTTTATCGGCACCCCGCTAGCAAACTTTAAAAGGTGCAGGATCGGTCTCACATGAAACACTGTTCTCATCTTTGAGTTCCCACACAAGTACCGGTTCCTTCCACTTAACCGCATCCAGCGAAGAGCGGCTCAAATGTTAGTCGATCGAGATCCTTCTGATCGGCTTGACTGCAAAGAGATGTTGCAACCCAGAGTAATCGCTCGGACTAATTCCTGTCACTAAATTTTACCATCAGATATCGCGACATAACTCACGAGACCGTCCATACCATGTGATCATTGGCAGTCCACCACTGTGTGGTTTACTATGTGTTGTCTTCCCGTATAACTTTCTTGCAGAATTGGCTGCCACCGACTATTTTTCCGGACCAACACGACTTATGGATCTTCAAGAAAAGGGCCTACTCTTTAATACGCAGGCAACGCACCTGTGATTCCCCTGGTGTTGCAGTAGTTCGTGATCTGCGGTCGACACTTACCATCAGGTGAGCTGCATGCTCTTTTGTCGCTACGAATATTCCCGATAATCACTCCAGCTAACAACTTTAATTCTTGGTCTAGAAGTGGTTCACAACAGTCGTCAAATTGCGGATTCGAACCCACGATTTTTGTGTTTTTCTGTCCATAATTCCGCCCCTTAGGCTACTCGATTATATATTTATTCGATTTATTTATTTCGTATGTACTCGATGCTCGTATATAAATCTTTTTGAAATTACGCTCGGCATTTTATAGGCACTAGGATCAGTAGTAAAGTGCATAATAAAAGGATAATCTGGGCTGAGATTTGATTTACGATACAAAGCCCCGCGGAGCATAAATATTTGGTAGTCGTACGGCTGAGCTCAAACCTCTTCTTATATCTGGGGTTATCAGAGGGTTACAAAGGAACTAATCCAATGCACTGCTTGGCTGCGTGTTGGCGGACTTCGCCGTTATTAGTTTTCATGGAATAAGGGCCAATATTTTTTAAAATTGCCATTCACGTATTCTTTGCGTAAAAAATAAGTGGATATTTTAGTTTAGACGTTATAAGCTCCCCTGAACAATTAAGAATAATTTGCTTATTAAGGTAATATTTGTTTCAAAACAAAATGCTTTGTATGGTGCTCTAGAAATTCATTGACAAAACTTAATTAATTAATTTGTTATCTTTTCAATTCGGGAACCAAATAAATTTTGTAGGTTTCAGCTATATCTGCTTTAGGAATTAACTGGATCGACGTCTTATTAATGCTTGATTCTTGACCTTGTTGGTGTATCGACGGTGAGAGATTTTAGTTATATACATGAACATATATCGCGTGATATAAGCGTTGAACATCTGTGAAATATTATGTGAAACGAACAGTGTATTTTTTCTTTTCATGATATACGTCGACACGAAATGCTTGATGTTATCCCCAGGAGTCGTGGTGAAGTTGTTTTCTACTGTAATTCTAAAATTATTAAGTAATTTTTCCGAATCAGTGTCAAATTTAAAAAATTACTTTCAATAAGTATCATATTTATAATCTATATTAAATGAAAAAATTCTGTTTCTATTTCAATAAATAAGTAGTAAAATTAAAAATTTTGTACAACCGACTTCAATACGACCGCATCAATGTATTCAAAGTCAATTAAACGCATTATTTAAAGATAACTCACAACCTTTTGGTCAAATTTTGATCTAATTTAAATGGAACCACACGAGAAGCACCAGCTTTAAAATAAAAATAAAATAATCATCAAAATCGGTTCAACTAGAAAAAAGTTCTGAGGTAACACACATAAAGAAAACTTACAGTTGAATTGAATACCTCCTTCTTTTTGAAGTCGGTAAAAAATAAAATTTACACTCCGAAGTTGGAATTTTAATTCTTCTATACGCTATATGTCTTAACTGCGACTTCAGAATGTGAAGTTATTTGAATTTATTTAGTTCTTTGGAATCGACTTTACGTTGTAGTTGCTTTAATCGACACCATTGACAAGTAGATAGTTATGGTTACACCAGCATCACCCATAATACGTATAAAGCGTCCATCAGCATAAATACATAAACGCTGAGTATGTAGTAATTTAAGTA